ATGTGTAAACATACCTGGCAATAAAGCTCATTCTGATTCTGATTCTGATTCTGAAATCTGAGTGCAGAGACAAGCAAAGGAATAGTAAGTATATTTTCATGTGGTATCACCTCTGTTATAGAGATTTTTGAATCAGGCCTAATGGAGGGTGATTTGGTCAATCATGGAAGAAAAACGTTAGCAATGTGTCCATTCCAAATGGCTAATTTGTGCTTGCTTTCAGCCATTCATGTAAAAATCTGTTATTTAATTTTGTTTCTGTTTTGTTTCTTTCTAAAGCTGCAAGGCTCTGGTGCAAAATATTGTATTCCAGGAGTCAGGACGACTAGGCTGTGCCCAGGTCTCCGGAACCTGTGACGATGCTCAGCTCCATCAGCTGTAATGTATGCAACAATATATAATACATTAAAGTTTTGTAGATATCAAAGTGTGTACGTGTGTGTATATTCTGAAAAAAGCAGCTTTATAATATACTAGTAGTGTAATGCTAATGCATTTCCAATGAGCTGAAATACAATTGAAATGTACTTGAAGTACATTAAAACGATGCTTCAAATATACTCTTAACTGTAGTTCATGAAGTGTTAAAAGGACATTTTAAATGTATTTTAAGAATTACACTTAAATTGCACTAAATATACTTAAAGTGGTTCCATTTTAACACAATTTCAATATATTAAATATATTACAAATAGATTAAAATCAAACTTAAACATATCTTGAAATACACTTAATATACTTAAAGTTGTTTCAAAATAATACATTTAATATGCACTTAGTATAGTATAATTTAAATATAGTAAGTATGTCTGAAAAAGCACAATTTAAATATATTTCTTTTTCACCTGGGAAGCTATCAGGTTCAGTTGCAGTTTTGCTTGGTTTACTAAACATTTAGTCAGGATTCCAGTCCCCTATATTCTAAAAGACAACTGTAGACTTATTTTACACCTATATGCAAAAAAAATGAGTAAAGTAAAAAAACACACTATAAAACCACTGACATTAAGTCATATAGAAATGCAATATAAAATAAGTAATTCATTATTTTAAAAAAAGAACCAAATATATAGGAAAAAATGGACCGGGACAGTTGAAAAAGTGATGAGACTAATTCAGTTCCATTATTTGTAGTGGTGTACAAAATACCTGTTTCTGTTTGCAATTAAAATCTTTATTTATTTATTTATTTAAAGCTGAACTCAATAAGCCTTACTGTGGGGTCTGTAAACAGTTTAGGATTGTGAAAGGGATCCTTGGTTCAGAAACCCTGGCCTAGGGCACCACGTTTACCAGGACCACAAGCAAGTAGTTATTTCCCTGATTCAGCTGAAATAAAAGTGATAATAAACAAGCAACAGCCTGGAAAACACATGTAGTTCTCTGGTGTAAAGATTCATTGAGTTAAATTGATTAACCTAATATGTAATTAAACTGCGTCAGAAATAATTATATTTTGGATCTTTGTAGATGAGCTGTAAGGCTGGAGAGAAGGGACCCAGACATCCTTTTACTGAATCCAAGCACCAGAGACATGACATAAAAGAGTCTCAATTAAAATGGAGGCTGCAACGTAATCTGCTGGGATAGATAACTGTTAATGCTTCTGGAGGGCTCTCGTTCTGCCTCACGCAAAATTAATTTACACATCCTATAAATATGCCTAACCTTCCCCTCTCGGTTTTAGCAATGGTACAGGCTCTCTGCAAACCAAACTACTTCACACAGAATGTACCAAAATGCAGGGTGATCTGGAGCAAAAAACAAAGCTTCCAATACCAATATGCAAAGATTTTCATTCAGGATGCTTAAATGTCCATTTATGGCTATATAAAGAAGGGAACCTCAACTTACAAATGCATAAAACTATTTCCAGGGCCACTGTTTGTCTATAAAATCTATGCTAATGTTTTTACCTCAAGTCACTGAATTAAAAGCACTGCATAACAGCAGGCAGAAATTAATTTTAATCGCACATTTTTACAGTGGAGCCGTAAGTGTTGCTAAGATTTTCAGCTAATAAACCATTTCACCTGTGATACGAAAGTATTGATTAGACATTCACAGGTCTGATTCACAATAGTGGCTACTGATCCAAGTGGAAAAGGTTTTAGAAAGAAACTAATCAAGGACAGGATGTGGGTTCTCAGGAAATATGCCAAAATAGAGTGTCTAAGTGGATTTTTGTTCCTTGAAACTGCTTATCTTAACTGTGTAGGAGCATAAACATTGTCCTTTCTGCATGTTTTTCACTTTTCAGAGGTGTAGTTCTTATCAACCTCTTTTATCATTACCAGGTGTCCATTTCACACAGAAATGGAACATGTAACACCATGTACACAAAAATAAACCTCTAATGACAATACACAGTTCTCAAAACATGTACATGCAAAAGCGAAACGCAGCACATTTAGCCACATCATTTGCATATGTGTTTTATTTGGCAATGTATCACTATGAGCATCTAAAAGGGGCTTCACCTCGAAGTTCTATTTGAAAAGACATACGTCATAAGTCCTATTTGGATGCGACTCCTTTTCCCAGAGGTAAATTTGTGTTTCACAGAAGCATTTTGTGAATTTAATCCCACTATCTGTAATTTGAGGAATATTATTTTTCACATTTATCCTCATTAAATCTAATAATGCTCACCTCCAGATGATAGAGATCTCTTCAATCCTGCCCAAAGTATATGAAATCACAGACAGCCTGGGTTAATAACTGACACTGAACACTGCTCTAGACTCCTACATAACCAGGTATTTTTCTTATTTGAATACAGGTAAATCAAACCGTTTTTTTTCCAGGTCAGCGTTATATAAAGATTATTTGCATGATGATGAGGCTGTTTAGATGGGTTTTCTCTGGATAATGAGTGGGCGCGTGAGCACCGCTGGGGTGTTGCCGGGACTGCTGGGAATATTCTGCTGCCAGCACCCTCTCTTCCTTATTCCCCAACTATTTTCCTTCTACAACACACACAGAAGCCCTCAGACTCATACTAACACAAACAACCATGTAGCCTAGTGACGGTTTGAGTAGAGAGCAACAGATCTAAACCCATACTTAGGGCTGTACGATAATGGTTAAACTGATAATCACTATTATTCTGCTCAAAATTTTTTATCATCATTATTATTCACAATTGTTTCTATTTGAGAAATTTCTTACATTTCATCAGAATATTGCACTTTCACATAAGCACAAATCAAGTGAACAACTTGTATGCAGGGTTTATTGAACTTTATCTAGTTTTCTGATGTATTTACATTAACACTTACATTATGAAAACTAGTAAAACCTTAAAAAGCTTCTCTCAAAAGCTAAAACTCCCAATTTCAATTCCAGTAATTCTAAATTATGTTAATATTTTTAAAAGGCCAATTCACACAGCAACAACAAACACAGATCAACGCTGACAACCGACCAAATACAGTACAAACGGCAATTCGACATGCTCAATCAGTAAAAACAAGCACCGACTAACGCCAACAGATGCAGACAGGGGTAACACACAGATCAAACAAAACCTGACAAACATACCTACTGCCTTTTGTCTGTGTCTGTCTGTGCATTGTGAATTGGCCCTAAAACAAAAATACTTTGTATTGTAGCACAGAGTTCGCATAAGCACATTCATCAACCACAATTGCAAACAATATAGTTGAGATTCATATTTGCAATTACTGTTTGTCACTGGCAAGGTTTGCTCACAGATTTAGTCGAAAATAGCGCAAACAGCCTCGTGAAGAAACGCAGACTGGCTGTATGACACTTTCAAATGGAGCAGAATATTGCAATAGAGTTTGCTAAACTCCAAACATACATGTTTGTCTTTGTTTTCAGAAAATCTGATAATTGGGAAGATTAAATAACACAAATGCATCTATTTAGATTTATTTAGATCTGATTGATGGGTTTAAATTCTTGAAATCTGGCAACCCCAAACATGTAAGCTTATGGAGGCTTGTTACCAATGCAAGATATTGGAGATGTCAAATGAAGGGGAAAAAATTTATAAAATAAAATAAATAACCAAAGGGCCAATGTCGCAGAGGCAATTAAATGAGAGAAGCAGATATCATGACTAAAATACAATAAATCGTAACAAAAAGAATGCCAGTTTGCCTCAAGTCATACACTAATGCAAAAAGCTACCTATGGGATTTTTCCATTAAATTTAAAGGAAAAACAAAGCATCATTAATGTGTCTCAATACTGTAAAAGCCACTATTCCCAGTGGTCACAAACAGTAATTCATGCCCCATATGAGTGGCTGCCCACATCCAATCAGTTTTGCCTGAAATAACAGATTTTTCACACACTGCAGCATTCCATCCATAAAAATCATCATATAACCCAGAAAATATACAATAATTCGACTCTTAATATGCATTAAGTGGATTCTACATGCATATATATATATCGTTGTAAGTGAATTTAAGTTATAGAAATGGCCAGATAGGAGAGATCTTGCCAGAGTGCCAGCACTAAAGCAGGATAAATCACTTTAAATTTAGAGCTTTTCACTTCCCTCTCTCCTTCAAAGTCTCTCCATGAGCAAACACTCCTAATTCTGACTGCAATCCTATTTCTCAGTTCTATTTTGGGACATTTTTTCATATAAATTTTCATGCAGTTAGCATGCAGACTGGTGACACCCAATTGAGCTTGTTTGGTAGAGTTTTTCATGTGCTGCGTCATGATGCTGCAGTGGAAGCAGAGGGCTAGAATGGCAAAGCCCATCTGTGTCCATCTGGGTGCCAGGCACTGGGCTCATGGCCCCTGCCCACCACAGACTGCCATTTATATTATCAGCCGTGGTGTGGCTCAGCATGTGAGGCAAGTTCACACCAACATGTTGGACCTTATGGACCCCATTCCGCTCAGAGCGGAAGCCATTTTGCTGTAATGTAGAGGCCCATAAGCATGACAGCAATGAGATCAGCATCAGATCATGTGTTAAGCTGTGGTGAGCTATGAATCAAACTAGGATGAATGGACTTCCTGCCACAGGCCGTAGCATCATCCACTATACACTACTAAGCTGTGGAGTAAAAAGATCCTGGGTTTTTATCAGGCCAGCTAAACGGATAGAGACATGACAAGAACATACATGGAGCATGTGTGTCAAGTATACATGCCACAGAATATCTAAAAATAGACAGCGACCCCTGACAATTGGCTCCTGTAACAAATGATCACAGAGAGTAACATAACATACAGATACTGGATCCAGATGATGCTGGCAAATGTGCGCTGAGGCTAGACAGGGTGTTCTGTGCACCCTGAAAAGTGTGCACGTATTTATAAGAAGTGTGTATAGTAGGGGTGTAACGGTACACAAACATGACGGTTCGGTACGTACCTCGGTTTTGATGTCACGGTTCGGTACAGTTTCGGTACAGCAGGGGGAAAAACTAAACATATATATATTACAATTAACAGCAGAGCCCAAACATAAATTTAAAAATTAAAATTATTTTTAAACATCAACACTCAACTTTAAAAAAAAATCTGTGCAAACATGTAAACTGCACATAATGCAGTTATTCTAAATTATAAAAATTCTATTTATTGTTTAAATTTACACAGTGAAATTTACACAGTGACTGTCATAACTTTTTTCGTAACAGATTTATTTAAACATAAATTAAATAATTAAGACATCACTAACAGGTAAAGTATAATGAGTATCTAGTCTAATATTTTGTGAAATGCTCTTCTCTGCACTTCATTTCTCAAGAGCATTAACGCGCTGTGGACACTGATGACTTGCCAGAGGCAAATGAAATGCTATGTGACATTTTGTTTACAAGCTGTTTTATTGACGTCTTTCCACAGTCGAAACACTGATTTAGTGATTACATGAGGCATGAGATGTTCATTCACGTTTATTTCACGTTAAAACTAGTAAAGAGGAAGGGATGATCGCGCTGCCGTTTGAACGGAGGCGTTTATGCGATCGGTCACGCCACATCAAAGAACGTCGAAACGGTATTTATTGTTTGAATTTCCTGAATAAAATGGACATAATTTGAAAGATGAGACTTTGTTTCTTATTAAAAGTAACAACATATATAACTGGAAGTTTCAAATGAAGTTCAGCTCATGCAGTGGTTAAAACAGTGCTGTATTTGTTCAGTACACATGCATACCGAACCGAAAGACGAGTACCGAAAATTACGTGTACTATTATACCCCTAGTTTATAGATTTATGTTCTGTTCCAAA